TATATAACTATATATGTTCTTTTTTCAGATTCTTTACAATATAAGATTCGATTCAATACAAGATATTGAACACAGTAGGTCCTTGTTTATCTGTCTTACATAGTAGTGTGTATATGTTAATCCCAAACTCCTAATTTATTCCTCCCCACTACTTTCCCCTTTGATAACCATAGTTTGTCTTTTATGTCTGTGAGTCTATTTCTGGTTTGTTAAGTAAGTTCATTTCATTATTTTTTCAGATTTCACATATAAGTGATATATTTGTCTTTCTCTGTCTAAGTAAGTTCATTTCATTATTTTTTCAGATTTCACATATAAGTGATATATTTGTCTTTCTCTGTCTGATGTACTTGACTTAATATTCTGTCTTTAATTCATTTGAGTTTATTTTTGTATGTAGTGTGAGAAAGTAGCCCAGTTTGATTCTTTTGCACATAGCTGTCTAGATTTCACAACACAATTTATTGAAGAGGGCATCTTTTCCCCATTGTATATTCTTGGCTCCATTGCCATAGATTAATTGACCATATAAGGTTGGCTTCATTTCTGGGCTCTCTTTTTCTGTTCCATTAATCTATCTATCTGTTTTTGTGCTGGTACCATACTGTCTTGATTACTATAGCTTTGTAGTATAGTTTGAAATAAAAAAGTGTGATGCTGCCATCTTTGTTCTACTTTTAAATCAATCAATCAATCAATCAATCTAGACCCTAAAACCAGCCACCTGGGATCCCAGCCCCACTCACCAGCAGGATAGCATCAGCCCCTGAGACCTCAGGCCCTGCAAGACAAGCATGCCCACTCTCACTACATCTATTTATCATAGTATTGGAGGTCCTAGCCACAGAAATCAAGCAAGAAAAAGAGTTAAAAGGCATTCAATTGAAAAGAAAGAAGTAAAACTGTCACTGTTTGCATATGACATGATACTATAAATAGGAATCCTAAAGACTATCAGAAAACTCTTAGAACTAATAAATGAATTTATTAAATTGCATGATACAAAATTAATATACAGAAATCTCTTGCATTTCTATGCACTAACAGCACATTTTCAGAAAGAGAAATCAAGAAAACAATCCTATTTATAATCACATCAAAAAAATAAAATACCTAGGAATAAACGTACTGAGGAGGTAAAAGACTTGTACTCAGAAAACTATAAGACATTTATGAAGGAAAATGAAGATGAAATAAACAAGTGGGAAGATAGAATAGTTTATGGATTAGAAGAATTAATATTATTAAAATTACCATAGACCCAAGGCAATCTACAGATTCAGTGCAATCCCTATTACAGTACCAATAGCATTTTTTCACAGAACTAGAACATACGATTCTAAAATTTGTATGGATACACAAAGTCCCTGAGTAGCCAAAGCAATCTTGTCTTGTTTCTGATCTTAGAGGAAATGCTTTCAGATTTTCATTGTTGAGTATGATGTTTTCTGTAGGTTTGTCATATTACATTATTTATTATGTTGAGGTATATTCCCTTTATACCCACTTTGTTGAGAGTTTTTATAATAAATGGATGTTGAATTTTGTCAAAAGCTTTTTCTGCATCTATTGAGTTGATCATACGGTTTTTAATCTTCAGTTTGTTGATGCCATGTATCACTTTGACTGATTTGCGGATATTGAACCTTGCATCCCTGGGCTAAATCTCACTTGATCATGGTGTATTATCCTTTTAATGTATTGTTTAATTTGGTTTGCTGGTATTTTGTTGAGGATTTTTGCATCTGTGTTCATCAGGGATATTGGCCTGTGGTTTTCTTTTTTGTGATATCTTTGTCTGGTTTTGATGTCAGGGTGATAGTGGCCTCATAGAATGAGTTTGGAAGTAGAAATCCCAGTGCTGGTGCTGGCTGGCTAGTGGGCATGCCTGGGTGATTTGGGGGTCCTGTTGCTGGTCCCAGCTTGCAGCTGGATGTTGCTGAGTTCCCACACAACTGGCTTCTCTGTCTGTGGGGTCTTAGACTGGTGCCAACCAGCTGGTGGGCAGGACTGGGTCCCAGCACTAATGAGCTAGAGGGAGGATTCCAAAATGACTCTTGCTGGCACCACTGTCCTCATGATAGAACCATCTCCCTCCAGATGGCCGCTGTCACCATTTCTATATCTGCAGGGGGGTTCCCAGTGGCCTCCTGCCCCGCTGGGAGTGTCTCCAAGATCAGCAAGTGGGTCTGACCCAGGCTTCTCTTAAATTAATGTCTCTGTGCTGGATCACAGCTATGTTTGAGATTTTCCATGTGCTCTTTGAAGAGAGTGGAGTCTCTCTTCTCTTCTGCCTTCTGGCTCTCCCATATGCAAGTCCCACTGGCTCTCAAAGCCAGACATCCTGGTGGCTTGTATTCCAGGGGCAGGATTCACAGGCTGGGGAGCCCAATGTAGGGCTCAAATGCCTTGCTCCTAGAGAAGAACCTCTGAAATTTTGGTTATCTTCCTGTTTGTGGGTCACCTACCCTGGGTATACAGGTCTCGACTATACCGTGTCTCTGCCCCTTGTCTCATTGTGGTTCCTTCTTTATATCTTTAGTTTGTGGAAAATCTTTGCTGTTAGTCTTTAGGTCGTTCTCATCGATAGTTGCTCTGTAAGTAGTTGTAATTTTGGTGTACTTGTGAGAGGAGATGAGCTCAGGGTCCTCCCACTCTGTCATCTTACCCATTCTCTGCAACAGGATCCTGTTGTTTGTAAACAAGAATACAGAAATTCTTACAAGGAGTGGAACTAGGTCAAATTTGATATAGTAAGGACTAAAGGCAGTGAAAATCTTCTTAAGATTCTAGAAAAATAATCTGAAAATTTATTGTATGCAGTAGTGATATAGTTATTTAGATTTTTACCTGTGATCAATTATAATAAAATATCCTTTGAAGGAAAATCTTTGGGAAATCCAATGTCTCTTGCCTTAGAAAAATAGGAGAGGTATAAAAAAGTCAAGGACTGTTGGGTGAGATGGCTTTTTCTGACAGTACTGGACAGATCAGAGAGGTACAATGACATGTTGGAATGCCTAGATTCTTAGCTCAAGGCATCAATTTTCTATGACCATGCCAAAGATTCACTAACCTTTTAAAGCCATAGGTGTGAATTAGTCAGGAGCCAAATCAATAGTTTGGCTAAATCAATTAATTACTAAATTAGTGTGCCAGTTGGTTTTTCTGGTCCATGATATCTTTTTAAAAAAAGTCTGGAAACTGAGAATTGGGATGGCAGTATCTAGGATGATGTGAAGCACTTGGCAAAGCTTAAACTGCCAACTCCACTGAAACTTTCATGACAACTAACGTAAGCCTTTCCTCCTCTTTCTCAAAAAGTTGTTCTCTTTTTGCTTTAAGATGTTGCCTCAATAAAAAATGTTAAAAAAAAAGATGTCACCATTTTTTTTAATAGACTGAA